TTATTATTATTATTATTATTATTATTATTATTATTATTATTATTATTATTATTATTATTATTATTATTATTATTGCTTATTTATTTAGATATGGAAGTAAGTACACTGAAAGGAAGGAATCCAAATATAGTAGCAAAAATGGAATATTTGATGCATTCAACGAAACAATTATTGGATATAAATGGCAATTACAAGAAGTTATTATTGGGACCAAAAGCTGGGGATGTTGGAATGCTCGCCGTTGGGAATCTAGTTTATTATTGTCGTGATTGTGTTGGCGAGTTAATCGCAGATCATTTGAATCTATCGATGAAGGATTATAATCAGATATGGAAGACGATCGAGGAAGAACTTAAAAATAATAACGTTTTTACAAAATATTGTAGATTTTGGGCACAAAAAAATAACACCACCAGTCAGGATGATTTTATGTTTAGTAATAGCAGTAATAGTTACATTAATAGCCTTAATAGTTCATATAAATTCCAATATTTATGATATGTATTAAATCGAGGTTAATCAAGTAGACAATAATAATGTATGAAAAAATGAAAAATTAAGCTAGTAATAATAATAATAATAATAATATTTTTTATATTTTTTATTATTATTATATATATGTAATTATGATTTTATATTTTTAAGATAATATTAAGGAAATTAACAATGTAACACAAACTAAAATTCTTTTTCATATATAATCAGTGCAATCAGTGCAATACATTCTTAAAAAGTTCTTAAAGATAATAAAACATGCTTTTTAAAGGAAGATTGTATCGTGCTTTGCTAAAAAATTCTGCAATTATGACTCCAACTACATTAAACTCAGCTCATATAATGCTAAATCATGCTAAAAACACATTATCTCAAAGATATTGCAAAAGTAAATCTTTCATCACCACAACTTCCACCCTCACTAGAGGAACAGATATTGATGTAAGGTAAAATAGAATGTTACATCTAAATAAATATTTGGTATTTATTATTATAACAATTATTATATTTGTAATTAGCATAAAAAACTCCAAATTCAACGCTCTGAAAATTTAAAACCACTCATTCCAAATAAAGATCTTATATTTGGCAAATCATTCAGCGATCACATGTTGAGTATCGAATGGAATTCAAAAGATGGTTGGTCAAGTCCTATAATAAAGCCTTATGGCAAGATTTCATTGGAGCCAAGCGCAATGGTTTTCCACTACTCGTTTGAATGTTTCGAAGGTTTGAAGGCTTATAAGGATAAGGACAACAGAATAAGAATGTTTAGACCCGATATGAATATGGAAAGATTTAAGGCTTCCGCTAAAAGACTCACTTTACCCGTAAGAAATATCATTTTTATTATTATGGAATTAAAAATTCTGACATATGTATTCATCCATAAATGTCATAAATGTCCATATGAATGCAGGATTTTAATGGCGAAGAATTAATTGAATGTTTGAAAAAACTTTTAATTCTTGAAAATCGTTGGATTTCAAATGAACGAGGCTACTCATTATACGTACGTCCAACTTTGATTGGTACACAGGAATCATTAGGTGTTGGCGAGTGTACTCGTGCACTACTATTTGTTATTTGTTCACCAGTTGGTCCATACTATAAAACTGGATTCAGTGCTGTGAAATTATTAGCAACCACCGACAATGTTAGAGCTTGGCCTGGTGGAACTGGTGACGCTAAGATTGGTGGAAATTATGCTCCTTGTGTAAAACCTCAGGTAGAAGCAGCAAGAAGAGGCTACCAACAAAATTTATGGTTATTTGGTGATGATGATGAAATCACCGAGGTTGGGACGATGAATTGTTTCATACTGTTGAAAAATAATTCTGGAGGTATTTTTTTTTTCTTTAAAAAAAGAAAAATCTGAAGAATTATTAGATATTCATTTTATTTTATTGTTTGTTTATCTTTATATCATTTAGAGGTTGAGCTTGTTACACCACCATTAAATGGAACTATACTTGCAGGTGTCACACGTGACTCAATAATAAGTTTAGCTAAATCATGGAACGAATTTAAAGTTTCAGAGCGTAAAATCGTAATGTCTGAAGTGGTGGAGGCTTTGGAGGATGGTCGTTTATATGAGATGTTTGGATCTGGTACTGCTTGTATAGTCAGTCCTATCAAAGGTATACATTATCGTGGGAAAGATTTAGTGGTGCCGCTAGATCCAAAAAATCCCAACCAAAATGCCGGCCCTATCACAAGAAGATTTGCTGATACTTTAATGGGAATACAATATGGTGAAATACCACATGAATGGTCTATTGTTTTATAAATTTTAATAGAAGATTTTTTGGATCAATTAGAAATTCCTGGGACATCGAGTAATTAATTACTTTTTTCATTGTAAATTGACTGAAAATATCATCGTTACCATTGTCTTGTCATTATTTTTCATTTATTATTGTTATCAATTGAAGTTGTGAATTAATGAAGATGTGTTCAGTCAATATATACATCAAATTTATGCATGGAAAAAAGCTAAGCTCCAATTTACCAAATCTAAAATTGATAAATAAAATATATATAACACAAAAAAAATCTTTTTTATAATTTTTAAAATTCTGCTATCTTTCTGATATTTTGTGATACAGGTAAGATATTCGCGTTTCAACAAAAAAAATATGTAAATTTATTCCAGGATTCCTATAAATCTATCAGGAATCCATCCACATTCAGAAAATTAACAAAATAAAAAGGAATTTGCAATAGCAGGGAATGAAGCGATGATGTTAAATAATGGAAAGTTGGTGATCGGATTAACGAGAAAAAAAATAATATATTTTTCTTGTAAATTCATATTGATATCTTGCTAGATGATAGATGTTAATTGTATTCCTAATGATGAGATTGGATTGATTCAAGTAGCGACCCTAACAGTTAACCCATGCTCGATCCTCGTGTAACAGATAATAAATAAAACTTTTTATTATTATAAAATTGTCAACTACAGTTTTTTATTGAATTCTTCATCCATCATCTATTCATCCATCCATTTATCAATTTATTCATAATAAATAATAAATGATAAATAATACATAAATAAACCTAGGAAGATAATTATACATACAATATATAATTAATTCTTTTTGTTTAATAAAATACTTTGTGTTCGGAAGTTAAACAGTGGGTTTAACTCTCCGATTGGTTATCAGAGTGGTATAGAACCCAGGTATTTGTTTTGGTTATTTGCTTTGGTATAAAGAAAAGGTTATATTTTTGGTTTTTGTTACGCGTAAACATTTTCGTTAAACGTAAACGTAAGGCGTTAAAACTGAACTGATTAGTAAAAGTTAACAGTTATTACTGATCGACATATTATATTGTTGTAAACGCACGAAAAGCAAAAATTAAAGTAAAAAATAGGAACTCTTTACAGATTCGCCGAAACTTCCCAAGAGGCAGTAAGCATTATAAATATTGTTAGAAACGGGGTTTTTATTATCAATAATCTATCAATTATTTGTTTAATATTAATGCCATTGTTATTATTATTGTGGGTTTGGACTTGGATACTTTACTCATCCTCTCAATGGGTTTAAAGCAACATTTTGGTTCACACGGTGTTATTAATGCAGCAGCTAATAAAGAGTTATCACATTTTTAAATAAGATGCATAATTATAAATTATCCCAATCACTTTTTCATTTAATGATATCGAATTAGAATATGCTCTAACATACGGACAGAGAGATGTCACATCAATTAATTACAATCCTGCATCTTAAAAATATCAAATTGAATGCCTGAAGAATAATGATGTGCCAATTTGAAGTGATGGAGGAATTTTTGGCTGTTTGTGATGAAGCTGATACAGTATTTTGTGAGAAGAAACGAATAATCAAAAAAATATTTACTAATTACTATTTGTTCAAGTGCCATAATCAAGCATCAATTTTTTTATTTAAATTAAATTGACTCGACAAGTTCGTTCATAACTCGTTTATAAATAGTAATAAATAACATGGTCATTTCTTTCGTAAAGTTCAGTGTTATTGCAAAGCAATGCTAAAAATATTTATTTTGAAAGAACCACAAAAAAAATTCATATATTATCATAGAAAATAAACTAATAATAAAACTTATAGTCAACCTCAAAGTTATTTGCTTAATATTATACAAGACTGCCATCAGGTTAAACCAAGAAAAGAAACAAATCGAACAACTGAGATTACATTAAACCAAAATTAAATCCCAAAGTTGGAATATTTTGACTTGAAATAATTACATAATGATGAATATTTTATCATAACTATCTACAAGGTCTACCAGATCAACATTGATTTGAATGTCCAAAGGGAAACTCAAAATCGATGCATTATTGTATTAATCTTGATGATGGTTTTGAAATCTAGTTTGTGGCCTATGCTGTTTTTCCCTGAAGTATTTGCAGATGACATAGTATTCGCCCTATTGAAGAAAACTGTTAATTAGGCTGCTGTATAGAAAAACTAACGCCCTACCAATCTATATTCATTCACGTTGCATTTGGAAAATGCGGTCTAATAATAAGATAAAGAACGTGGTGGACAGATTTTGATATTGTTGTCAAAACTCGGAATAAATTTTTGATATCTAGTCCAAAATAGTAATGGGTTGGTCTAAAGATATATAATATCAAGCTTCGTGTATGAATGTATGGTAGTTCGATCATAATAATGAAAAATATAAATAAAATATAAAATAAAATAATAATTTTTATTTATTTTTTATCAATTACTTGAAAAACTTCTAATTCATCAAATCTATCATCATTTACTATATTGATGATGTTATTGTAACTCCCATGTATACGATCAACGTAACCATCTGTTTTAAACCGAACATCACAACCACGCCCAAAACCAGGTAACCAAGAAGGATCACACCAAATTGCACACTCATAATCATTATTAATAACATAACTGAATTGTGCAGTATGGATATAATTTCTATTACTAATATTAAAAATAAAACTTTCAGTTGTATTTTTATATCCTATGTTTCCATTCCAATTAAGTGGATTATAACCACCAACTATTTGTTCTGAATTTTGTATTTTACCAATTGCAAGGGCTTTGTTGATATTATCACATTTTTGATGAAATGTATCTGCATTTAAACCATCTCTACTGCTTCGATATAGGAGTTTGAATTCATATTTGATTTCCCTGAATGAAGTGTATGGTGGACTTTTTCTATCAATCCAACTTGCAAAAAGCAATGTAAGATTTTGATTGATTGTCAATGATTCAAGAGTTGGTTTGATTCTTGATGGTAATAAATTTAAAGTTTGTTGCCTATCTGGAAATAAATAATAATGTAAAATATCCTTCCATAAAGCCATAGGAAAAAGTATTTGATATTGCACAATTTTATTAAAAAAATCATCTTTAGAAATATCCTGAAATCTTATTAGAGAAAGAAATTCTTTTAATCTGTTGTTGCCTAAATCAACAAAATTTTGCAATGACCAATTTTCAATATTATTAATATTGATTTTTGGATGTTTTTCTATCCCCCATTCAAGAATGTTTTCCCAAATAACTATCTCATCAACAGAAAAATCATCTCTTTTGAGAATTTCCAATAAAATTGGTTTTTCAAATGATTTAAATTCACTTGATTCAAATAATTTTTCACTATATTCACAAAACTTTTCCAAATAGATGTTTTTTAATTCCTTAAAATTTTCATTAGCATAAATCAATTGTAGAATTTTAACTGAATTTTCTTTTATATAATCATCATAATTTTCAATAAAATATTTCATCATATATTCATAAAGTGATTCAATACCAAGTTCATCTGTTGCAGTTAATAGTTCCAATACTTCAACACCAGAATAATTTTCAAATTCAATTTTACATGTATATAAAAATCTTACATAATAAATAAATTATTAAACAGATTATTAGAATTATTATATATTCAATAATTCAATAATAATAATTTATTTAAGCTTACTTGAGAATAGGGTTGAAACATTTTTCACTAATATTAGCTTTCTTAATAATATAATATCCATTTTCTTTTGTTGCATTGTTTAATTCATTGCTAAAGAATGGACAATGAGCAGATATGATAGATGAATGTGCATGAACTTCTTTAATGTTTGGCTCTATGCCAACATATATTTTTACATCATAAAGATCCTCTGTATTTAATAATCTTTCATTTTCATTAAAATATTTTTCAAATATTGAATTCATTTTTATTTAAATAATGGAAAAATAAAAACAAACTTTAGTTTTTTTTTTAAAAAAAAGGAAACACTTGTGTTTCACGTGAATTATTAAAGAATGATCCGCGAAAAACTAGCCACGTGATATTTTTTAAAAAATCTCACTCACCCAAGAGTAATTCCTTTTTTTTCGATATCCTTAAAAAACAAATGCATCATTATGTTCTTTGACAACGCAAAATAAAAAAATTTTTTTTTGTCATTAGTTGGGACGGATCGTCAATTAAAATTGAGCATGTGATTAGCATTTATTTTTTTTTATATTCTCACCAAAATAATTTCTTAAAAAATGAATTCAATATTTCAACGAAAATGAAAGACTATTAAATACGGAGAATCTTTATGATGTAAAAATATATGTTGGCATAGAACTAAACATCAAAGAAGTTCATGTATGTGCATCTATCATATCTGCTCATTGTCAATTTTTAACAATGAATTAAACAATGCAACAAAAGAAAATAGGATATTATATTATTAAGAAAGCTAATATCAGTGAAAAACGTTTCAAATCTATTCTTAAGTAAGTTGGAATAAATTTATTATTTATTTATTGTTATTGAATATATAATAATTCTAATAATCTGTTTAATAATTTATTTATTTTGAAAGATTTTTATATACATGTAAAATTGAATTTGAAAATTATTTTGGAGCTGAAATATTAGAATTATTAATTGCTACAGATGAACTTGGTATTGAATCACTTTATGAATATATGATGAAATAATTTTATTGAAAATTGTGAAGATTATATAAAAGAAAATCCAGTTAAAATTCTACAATTGATTTATTCTAACAAAAATTTTAAAAAACATTTACTTGGAAAAGTTTTGCAAATATAGTGAAAAATTATTTCAGTCAAATGAATTTGAATTGTTGGAAAAACAAATTTTATTGGAAATTCTCAAAAGAGATGATATTTCTGTTGATGAGATAGTTATTTGGAAAAACATTCTTAAATGGGGATAGCAAAACATCCAGAAATCAACAATATCAATGTTGAAGATTGGTTATCACAAAATTTTGCTGATTTAGGCAACACATTAAAAGAATTTCTTTCTTTAATAAGATTTCAGGATATTTCTAAAAAAGAGTTTTTTAGTAATATTGTACCATATCTGATGCTTTTTCCCAAGGTTTTATGGAACAACTTTTTACAATCTTATTTATTTCCTGATGAACAACCAGATTTAAATTTATTACCATCAAGAATCAAATCAACACTTGAATCATTGATAATCAATAAAAACCTTACATTGCTTTTTGCAAGTTGGATTGATAGAAAAAGTCCACCATGCACTTCATTCGGGGAAATAAATTATGAATTCAAACTTCTATATCGAAGTAGTAGAGATGGTTTAGATGTAGATACATTTCATCAAAAATGTGATAATATCAAAAAAACTCTTTCAGTTGGTAAAATACAAAACTCGAAGCAAATAGTTGGTGGTTATAATCCATTAAATTGGAATGGAAGTAATGCATATAAAAATACAACTGAAAGTTTTATTTTAATATTAGTAATAGAAATGATATCAATACTGCACAATTCAGTTATATTATTAATAATGATTTTGCACATGCAATTTGGTGCCATTATTTTAGTTTGCCAATTTTTGGTAGTAAGCATGATTTTTTGTTTCATACAGATGGTAGAGTTATTATTAGTCACCCAAATAATTTAGTAAATAACAGTAGATTTGATGAATTGGAAGTTTTTCGAATAATTGATAAAAAATAAAAAATAAAAATAATAATATTAGATTATATTTTTCATTATCAAACTACTATGTATTCAAAGGTGTGTTGCTAGCAAATTAGGATGATCAACATCCAGACTTGATGAGTTTATTTATACTGTGAGAACTTTCTTTGGAGTATGTAGGGAAGGAATCAAATATAAAGCTTTAAATCATGCCTACAGCAACCCATCAATGACACAAACTCCTCACCATTGAGGTATAACCACTATCCTTTCCTCGATTGAGAAACTTTGGGGCATAGGTTTAACTTTGGGTGGATGTTAAACTTCTTACAAATAATTTTGGCTTGAAGAAAAAATATGGAAAACTATATAGATAGTAATAGCTTGGTATAAGGTTTGATGGCACTGTGATTGGCTCATTGGAGAAAATCCTTCAAAATTTGGTATTTTTTTATTATATATAAGAATTGACCAGTTATCATTCTGCAAATAGTCAAAATCGTTTCAATTCCATGTAATTTTCATTTTAATTGCATGGTCTACTATATAGGTCAACATTAACCAACGAGGAATTGGCTTTTGATGATGACTTGAATGTCCAAACACAATCTCCAAATCAATGATGATTTTGAAATCTGGTTTGTGGTCTATGCCATTTTTCCTTGAAGTACTTATAAATGACATAGTATTCAGAAAACCATTAGTTAAGCTCAACAAAATTTCATAATGACCAATCTCCAACATTGATATTATTGATTTCTGGGTGTTTTACTACTCCCCATTTAAAATGTTTCCCAAATAACCACTTCACCAACAGAAAATCTTTTCTTTTGAGAATTTCCAATAGAATTGGTTTTTCCAATGATTTAAATTCACTTGACTCAAATAATTTTTCACTACATTTACAAAACATATACTTTTCAACTTTTTAAATTTTTTGTTAGCATAAATTTCAATAAAGCATTTTGTATATTTATAAAGTGGTTCAATAGTTGATTTGCTGTAATTAATAGTTCAATTTTATGTATTTTACATGTATATAAAAATCTTCCAAAACAGATTATTATCATTATTATATATTTAATAATAAATAAAATAAATAATTTTTCACTAATATTAGTTTTCTTAATAATATTAATGAATTGCTAAAAAATAGATAATGAAAGAAACTGATATGATTAATGTTTGATTCTACACCAATAAAATCCTCTAAAAAATGGCACAATGGACATTTGATTTCATTGGCTAAATTTTATAATGGGAAATTGAGTGCGAGGTTCGTGTTACATATTGAATTTAGCCAATCAAATTTGTTCTTCTGGTAGAAATTTTAACGTTGATTGGCTAAATTCAATATGTAACACAACACTGGGGAGGATTTTTATTAACATGTGATTGGTCATTCATTTTTAAAAAAAAAAAAAAATTTAAAAAATGAATTCATTATTTGAAAAATATTTTAATGAAAGTGAGAGGTTGTTAAATACTGAAAAATTTTATGATGTAAAAATATATGTTGGTGTAGAACCAAACATCAAAGAAGTTCATGCACATGCATCTATCATATCTGCACATTGTCCATTTTTTAACAATGAATTAAACAATGCAACAAAAGAAAATGGATATTATATTATTAAGAAAGCTAATATCAGTGAAAAAATTTTCAACCCTATTCTCAAGTAAGTTGGAATAAATTTATTATTTATTTATTGTTATTGGATATATAATAATTCTAATAATCTGATTAATAATTTACTTGAAAGATTTTTATATACATGTAAAATTGAATTTGAAAGTTATTCTGGTGTTGAAGTGTTGGAATTATTAACTGCAACAGATGAACTTGGTATTGAGTTGCTTTATGAATATATGATGAAATATTTTATTGAAAATTGTGAAGATTATATAAAAGAAAATCCAGTTAAAATTCTACAATTGATTTATTCTAATGAAAATTTTAAGGAATCAAAAAACATCTATTTGGAAAAGTTTTGCAAATATAGTGAAAAATTATTTCAGTCAAGTGAATTTAAATCATTTAAAAAACCAATTTTATTGGAAATTCTCAAAAGAGATGATTTTTCTGTTGATGAGATAGTTATTTGGAGAAACATTTTTAAATGGGGGATAGCAAAACATCCAGAAATCAATAATATCAATGTTGAAGATTGGTCATTACAAAACTTTGTTGATTTAGGCAACACATTAAAAGAATTTATTCCTTTAATAAGATTTCAGGATATTTCTAAAAAAGAGTTTTTTAGTAATATTGTACCATATCAAATGCTTTTTCCCAAGGTTTTATGGAATAACCTTTTACAATCTTATTTATTTCCTAATGAACAACTGGCTTTAAATTTATTACCATCAAGAATACCAGCACTTGAATCATTGACAATCAATAGAAACCTTATGTTGCTTTTTGCAAGTTGGATTGATAGAAAAAGTCCACCATACACTTTATTCGGGGAAATTGAATATAAATTCAAACTTCTATATCGTAGTAGTAGAGATGGTTTAGATGTAGATACATTTCATCGAAAATGTGATCATGTCAAAAAAACTCTTTCAGTTGGTAAAATACAGAACTCGGAGCAAATAGTTGGTGGTTATAATCCATTAAATTGGAGTGGAAGTAATGAATGTAAAAATACAACAGAAAGTTTTATTTTTAATATTAGTAATAGAAATGATATCAATACTGCACGATTCAGTTATTTTATTAATAATAATTTTGAATATGCAATTTGGTGTCATTATTTTAGTTTACCAATTTTTGGTAGTAAGCGTGATCTTTTTTTTCATACAGATGGTAGAGTTATTAGTCAACCAAATAATTCTTATAGTAACATCAATATAGTAGATAACAGTAGATTTGATGAATTAGAAGTTTTTCAAATAATTGATAAAAAATAAACATAATAAATACAATTAATTATTATATTTTTTTTCTATAATAAGCATATATAAGAAACTGTTGATTTTAGACAAGAATGGAATTGATAATAGCTGAGTAGCAGAACCAGACTTTATTTTTATTTTTTTAATCCTTATCACATCTAATGTTCATGAATTTCAAAAAAAAAATGCTCCATGGAATCGTTTGATATTATATGATAGTTGTAACGGTTCTTCTATTTGTGTCAATTTTATAATGAAAATGGCAAATTTGTATAATGATATTGATTCGGCTTCCCTTTTTATATTTTTTTTAAGTCGGATATTATAGTGACAACAGAATAAATTCAAGAAATTCCGAAAACTATGGTGGGATCAAGGAAACCTACATCCAAAGATAGACTGAGATAATGTGAAGTAAGTGATGCACATCTGTCTACAGGATATATACAAGCTAATTTTGCTAATTGTCTATATCATGATTCCTTAAAATCTATTGTATCGGTTTTTTTTTGGTACAAAGCGTGATCGTAGAAACGTTTGATATTTAACAAAGGTGAGACACAATAAAAGAGTATTACAGATATTCCTTAAATAGAATGCAAATTTGGTTCAACGCTTCACGTATTTGATATATTGCTTTAAAAGTTTTATTCCTTGCTATGCATAGCATATTAACTATCATGAAAAGCATGTGGCATATGAATCTATGTTGCCGAATTTAAAAAAATAATACCACAAAACTTCCATGTAACTCTTTATTCAACGATGAAAATCATAACAAACATAAAAAAATGATTCAGGAATATACTGTAAAAATTTCACATGTAGTTAATAAATTGATAAAATTTTAATGACTTTTGGGAGGTGAGTGTATGTAAAATGTATATCAATAGTAGGGAACAGAAAACAAATCGTAAACACACTTAAGATATAATTATATCAGACTAAAATGTTGAATTGTTATTGAAAGATAGATGTGAATGTGATGACTGACCTTATTTTGACTTTCATACTGCAATTGATCTTATATTCTTGAATCAGTCAAATAATCAAACTTCGCTTTGATTGATTGCTCAAAGAGTATGAAAAATTCTACATTAATGGTTCTTTAAATTTGTTTGATTAAACAAAATATCATTCCATCTACCAATCTGCACGATAAGTAAATCACGTAAATTTTTTTTGGGGGGGTTCTTGTTTCTTTTTTGCATTGTCTACAGCTATTAGAGCAAATTTTGCCGAGTTATTCTTGAAATAAGGAATGAATGAATGAATCATAATCAACTATAGCCTTATTTTTTACTCTGATTGAAGAAATTTCTTGGTTAAAAGTTCTTATTCTTGACATTTTTTGACGAACCATTTTTTTTTTTATTGTAATCATGTTCAAATATGCATATATTTCTATTGATTCATAATGCATGAGAGCATTCGTAATAATAATACTTTTGAGCATTTAATATTCATAACACTTGAAATATTGTTTTTGGAAACCCTTTTTTCAAATGCCTTTAGATAATAGATAGAAATAATACCATATTGGGCAGTCTCCAGCAAAACCAACCTTCAGAAAGTTTCAACAGAGCCTTTTGAGCTTGATTTCCTAAGGAATAATATGAATTATTTTCAAATATTGATGCACTGAACTTTTTTTATTAATGCGCAGCAAGCTATTGATTGTATCGTCCCAGCAAAAATAAGTTCCAAGATCATCTCTGGATTTCTTCCAGAGACTGCCTCAAATCTTTCAATAGGATCACATACACATTGTAAAAAGCCTAAAATGCGTGGAAGGCCTAAAGATGGTTTTACCTGGAGTTACTTTGACGATGACGAAAATGGCACATATTGGGTTTGTCAAGTAAAGACACCAATTTCTCTAGACCATCCAGAGGGTACATGTAATAAAAATATGCAAACATAGCAAATAACTACTATCGATCCAACTAATCATTTAATCAATAGTTCTATTAATATTCGAATATGTCCAAAAACTTTCGAATATGGAACATAATTAAGAATCTCCGACGATCATCACCTATTTAGGACCTCGGATAATTATGTTTTTTAATTTGGAAAATTTTATAGAAATCGTTACTATGCCCAAAATGGATATATATAATGAACTTTTTTAAATAAGATTTTCTTCGGACAGATGTCATTTTTTATTTAAATTTAATTAATTTAATTAATATATTTATTTGCCTAATACGTTTGTTTGTTTACTAGTCAGGGAATACACCAAACTTGGAATCCCTTTCATTGAAAAAAATAATAAATGTTTTATGAAACTTGGAGAGAGCTTTAAATGGTCATACAACTTCCAAAATCATGTATTATTGAATGCTTTACAAGCTTACTGAAAAACAATCAATACCAATTATAATGATTGTTATTGTATATTACCTATATTGATATTCGTGTTTTCGATTTAATCTAAAAAAAAATTAATAATTTAATATCTAATTCGTAAATTTTCCATTTTAATATATATATACATAAGGTTGTGTAATAACATTAATATGCAGTAAAGAAAATAGCAGGTTCTGATATTATTAAAACTATAGTAGTAATAAAGAAATCAATATAAATGAATGAATTAATTAATATAATAATAAATGAATAATTGTCGGTATATTTAAGTAAAGCATACTTTATATACAATTAAAATAAAACATTGTTATTAGCAATTTGTTTGTGATGCCTTATATAAATGGAAATAATTGTAAAGTTTCGATAATCTTCAACTGGTATTTCGAATCTTTCACTCACTGTGAATGAAGCAAATAAGTAATAGAAAATAGGTTTGGTGTTTTATCAACTATAGGTCAACGAATTCGAACTCCTGGTACATAAATTTCCTTAAATTTAAGTAAAAACAAATAAACAGATTTTCGCAGATTTTTTGAGAGAAAGTTCAATAGTATTATTTATTTTTTTTTTGATTATTATAATGAATCATATATGAATTGGTCAACAAGGGAATTCTGTATTTAGTATATTCCTTGGCTGTACTGAATGTGGTTAACAGTCAATCCCATTATCAATCAGACCAAACAGCAAACAACGATGTATTGTGCTGGGTGCCCTTAATGGTAGCACAAGCGATAGAAAATATCAATCATAATACATAATATATACAGTACAGTAGAATTTCCTTTTAATATGGGTCAATAAATAAATAAATAAATCTTTGATGCTTTATCCCTTACCTAAATTGAAACCGCATGTATAGGACTCCGGACAATCATATTAGATGCCACTTTTTAAATGGAAAATGATAATTTTCTTATAAGCTCTGTATATAAAAAATCGAAAGGTTTTTATATTAAGATTTAAACCTTTGATATGGTTGTTCGAAGTCCTGTGACTATAATAACAGTAGATCGATTCCGCGTCCCTGCCATGCGATAAAAATTAAATATAAAATTTACACTTTTAATGAAAACAGTTCCGGAGTTTCAAAAGGCAATATAATATAATAATTTTATTAGTCATATACAGTGCCTGGGAAAAATTATCGGACACTCAAATCAATCAGTGTTTGAAACAGTCCAGTCCGACAGTTGATGCGAATTTTTGAATAACTAATCAAATTCAGAATCCGGTGGTCCTGTTCACTATTAATTACACAAAAACATACATAATAAATGCAGCAAAAAAATTATATCAGGTTATATCTTAGGTTCTCGAGATTATGTGTATATAAAAAATTTTATAGTTTTATATTTTATAAAACTCTGACAATTAAAAATAAAGAAATTCGATTCGATTATTTTAAAAATTTTCAAGTGAAATTTTTTGCTTGCGTAATAATGTGTCAAAACGTGATTTTGATTACATTTGAAAAATATTGATGACATAATAATGTGTCTAAGATCCGACAAACGTAATTTGGTAACTTTTCAAAAGACATTGATGACATAATAATGCGTCCAATATCGATGGTGCTTTTTCTACTATTGTGAGAGATGGCGTGATTTTGGTTGCTTTTCCGATGGTTAATAATGAATGATCAACAAAAGTTGAAACATGGCAATTAGTTATATAATCTATCATTTATTATTACATAATGAACGCTTTTTTATTAATCATTGTCTATTTTGGGAATGATATTTAGTGGTATGGAAAATCTGGATTGAAAAACAAACAAAAATTTCGCGGGAAAAGGATTGATTAATTTAGAGATGGTTGAAAAGTCAAAGAAATATTTATAGATGTAAAAAAAGTTTTTTATTGTGCTGTTTAGCAATAAAAGTATAATATTTGTATTTTTCAAAGCCCAAGAAATAATAATCTCTGACTATGCTTGTAATGAAAGGCTCACTAAATAAAAATTAATTTTATTTATATTGTGTAAAAGATAAAATAATGATGACTAAAAACCAATTTCCCAATTAATAATAATATTAAAATGAACAAGAGAAATCATGGGACATTTAATGAAATAAAGTTCATTCATTCATTCATTCAATATTTTTTAGAAAAAATGGAAATTTTATTGAAAATTGATTAGCATTAGAATTGTGGCTAATTTGAATTTCCAACAACTACAAAAACTCTATATCATTCATAATTGGCATTTGGCAGCCGAACAGCCGATAGGCGAACGCCTAAATTTCCAACCACACATTATTATGTAAATCGCTAATACACGTATGTCAAATAATGTTAGTCGTCAAAACTATTTTTGAAGATGCGAAAATCAAAACTAAAAGTCAAAAGTCGAAACTAGCTTTGAAACATTAATATTGAACTTAATTCTGACAACCCGGCAATTAATTAATTGGCCCTCCAAGATCTTTTTTCGTTGATGGAAGGTTCTTTTATAGTGAAAACAGCGATCTTTTTTTATTATTATTTTATTAAACAAAAATCCGAACCACGCGTAGCCTTTTCTTAATAAACAAAGTGTCTAGAACTTCCTCCCACCGTAAATTTTTCAAGTATTAATTCATTCAAACATTTTTCTTTATGGGCGATCATGATGTATATAACGTGAATCCATCAATTTGGAATGGCCAATTGATATACTGTACGGAGGATGAACAATTATTTGGGATTTGTTACAGCTCATATACATACAAACATGGTAAAATTCAAATAAATAAAACCATTAAAAAAAAAATTTATTTGTCACTAAATTACCCCAATGTCCTATTCTATAGTAGTTTGATTTAATTTACATAAATACAGATATTAATATTATTATTAAAATTATCATCGATCGATCCATACATGTAATTCATATAGATTATTAGGATTGACAAGTATGTGATGACCATGTCTCATTAATTTCAATACGATCATCATTAAAATAATTAAAATGATCATAATCACTAGTACTAGTATTAATATTATTATCGGAACCGACATCATTATCGTTCATATTATTAGTATTCAAAACTTTTGTGCCTTTAAATAATGATAATAGGTTAGATATTATTGATCGACTGTTGTTGTTGTTGTTGTTGTTGTTGTTGTTGTTGTTGTTGTTGTTGTTGTTGTTGTTGTTGTTGCTGCTGCTGTTGTTTCTGTTTATCATGTTGTTTTGATTGTTGTTGTTTGTTTGTTCAGGACCGAGTTTGATCACAAAAGAAGGTTTTTTTGATCCTAATATTTCATCCGGTGGCGAATAATAACAACACGGTAGAAAGAACACTGCAGATTTCGTTGTACCGAATATTAAGAATAATACCACTCCACTAAAAATAATGATATAAAAATTTTTTTTTTCAATTAATTATTATTATTTATTTTTTTTTTTTTGTAAATTTAACTCAATATTTACCTTGAAGAACAAATAAAATCGGAAACGTAATATGATTCATCACGATCCCCATCCATTGAAAATTGTGGTTTTGTTAATATGACCGAGATAATATAAGTAGTTGTTAAACAGATATAAGATATTATATAGATGCTAGATCTAATCGCATACCCCAATCTAATTGCTGTTAAACGATTATGACATTTTTCAAAATTTTTCCAACGAAAAAATAAAACGTATAACGAATGACCTAAAAATAGACAAACAAACAAACAAACAAACAAAATTGAAGAATCAGTTAAAATGGATTATTAAAGATGTTTTGTTCATATATATATATATATATATATATATATATATATATGCACACACATATACTTACACACGAGAACTAATGACGCCGCCAACGATATACTAAGCGCAATAAAACCCGCAATAAAAAGATCCAGTCCCACATCCGATCGAGGCTTACAATAATACCGGGTAACCATAGTACCCCAAAATCTTTTATTTCTATCCACAAAAACAATTATCAATGCGTAGACTAACGCACCACCCCAAATAGAAATGGTGAAATACCAAAAACATGTTTTCTCGATACTCAAATCATTTTTTGATATTGCGTACCATTGATAAATTGCTAAAACTAAAGGAATTAAACATGCAGGGTAGATAACGAATTGTGTCATACTCTTTTGTAGTATACAAATTAATGTTTTTGTGCCGCCGTCAAATGTTTGATCCATTAAACCATCACCATAAATTGTTACTGGAGTAATGGTAAAAATTTGAAGTAATAATAGTACAACGCCTATTTGAAAAATTGTCCATTTCGTAAAGTAATATGGTGATTTGATTAATAAATATAATTGAAGTATTGTTGAAATTATACTTGCAGCTATTATGCTAATGAAAAGCGACGTTAAAAATGAATATGTTGGCATTGTTGACGTGTAATTTTTATTTTAATACTTAAAAAAAATTTTTTTTTTCAAAACACAAAAACTCTCCTTTTAATACCAATTTATAGATAGACATTTTATTATTCTAATGGTTTTAACGGTAATGCACCAATTAATAAAAATCTTCATTCATCAACAATTCGAACTTTTCCAATTAAGGAAAAAACCGTAAATATTATCCGAATAAAGGGTATTATCAAAAATTCAATGCATAATAATAAAAAATACAATCCAGTGCATGCATACTATCGAAAATAAGCACGAGACAACGTATGATCTCTGTTTTCTAAACAAAATGAAAATAATTATAAAAACGACGTGCATGTATAAGGCCTTTCTTTATTTATTTTATTCTGGACAAAATTCTAGTGGTCTTAAAAGCTTTGCTACACGAGGCACAATACTTTCTATCCTATTTCTTAATATTTCATCATCAGTTTTAATCTCCTATTATTGATTGTTGTACTTTGTTGTTAATGATGATGAAAAAGGAAAATCACGCAACTAACAAAAAACAAACAAAAAAAAAGTAAACGTACCAATGTTCTAATATTAACTTCGGCAATCATATTGTCCACTTTAATAATAATCTCTTCATTTGAATCCGTTTTACTTATTGCATCACCGAATTGCTTTTTAAAATAATTTTCTGCTATTTGCAATGATGAAATCTTTGTTGTCGTCATTTTTTCTGTTTTATCACCGTCACCTTCCGATTTGTCAGTATCCATTGCGTCGTGTTCATGGTCTTCCAGTATATGAGTGTGATGCGGAGGACTTGTAACTAAAAAATTAAATTAAATATATTGTGAAATATTATTATGATAAATAATGCCATTGAGATATATATGTGTGTGTGTGCGCGTGCATATATACCTTTTACAGAAGCAGGACTGCTCTCAATATTTAGAATAACTGCGGATACAGAGTCAGCAATTTTGTCGTTCATGGATGTTCCCAACCACTCAAGCTGCACCTGATTTTTACCAATGTGTCTAACGTTTACCGAGTCCAAGATCTTGAAAATATAAATATATATAATTATCAATTAATTAATTAACAATAAATTATAATTTATTCACGCAAAAATGTTAATAGACATACTGTTATAGTGGGCACATCCTCACTATCTATAATTTCTTCGAGCACGCCATACATTTGTTCCAGATGATACTTTAATAAAGAAAATGATGAACTGTATGAAATCGATTGTTTTTGAAGGATGGATGATGTAGTTATTCCACTAAATTCTTTAAGATCATTTTCATCCATGATATTGAATTGGAAATCTTTTGATACAATTATTCCAGAAACAATTTGATTTTCCACAGGATACTTTGCTGCTAATTGACCTATAGTCTACAAATAAATAAATATTTTACAATTTAGTATTGGAACTGGAGTTGGAATAAAAATATAATGATTATTAGATTATAATTTATTTTTTTACCTTTGCTAACTTTTCACCTTGGAAAAATAATCTTATTGTTTCACAATTCTTTGGTGAAAAAATCCTAATATTTTCTTGGCGTTCATTAAATTTACTTTGTAACGCTGTTTTTAACCTTGCCATTGAATTAGATTCTCCATGTACAAGTACCTACATCACATTATTATAATTATAATTATCATTATCATCATCAAATAACTTTTGTATTTAAATACTAAACTTAAAAAACTAAAATGAGATGTAATACCAAATATGGTGCTTTAATTTCATCTATGAATTTACTGTTTTGAGTGTAATCTACATGTGCTGAAAAAGAAATATAATCAACTGACATTCGTAATGGGATTTTGGTTCCAGACATCGCTTGTATTTCCGGTGGCTCCGTCATGACATCCTAAACAAAATTAAAAAATAATAGATATTTTGAATTTAACCTTAATATTATAACCCCCCCAAAAAAAGAAAACCTACTCGAGCTAAAGTTCCATCTACACAATATCCAGTTATTACAAGTCCGTTTCTTTTGTCTGGGCACCATCTTTCAAATAATTCTCTTGATAAACCACTCTATTCAATACAATGAATAATGATAATATGTTAGATTTTATATACATACCATATTCAAATATACTTGCATATACTTGTATACAAATACACACATATATAATTCACTTTCTCAAGGTATCCTCTCTAGGTGTAATAAATAATTGTACCTGCAACATACCCGGACTTGCCATCATAACGCACGGACCAACATCATCAAAATTATCCAAATTCTTAAGATTTGAAATATGTTTGAAAACAAAAGGATTTGAAATGGCAAATTGTTTACGTATTCTGGAATTCATCATATTGATATAGGTTTGATAAACAGCCATACATTTTTTTGCCAAAGATGATGCATAATAAATTGGCACCGATTCCAATTCAGGATGAGCTTCCCAATACTCATCAAGAATCAATAATAATTCTTGTGCACGACCCAATGCATAAACTGGCATTAGACATCTTCCACCACGTTGTACGATATCATGAACAAGACCTATATTTAAAAAAGTATATGTAAATAGTTGAATAATTATAATTTATTATCATAATAGTTGGATGTTTATCTACCAGTAAATCTTGCTTCTTTTTCTAATCTTGGTTCATGACTCTGTACACCATAAGTGGATTCAGTAATCAATACATCAGATTGAGTATGAGGAAGTTCAGCTGCCATTAAATGTCTATCTTCTTCTCTTGAATAATCACCCGTGTATAATATCTATTAATATAATATATATTTTAAAATATAGGAATGTCATTTTATCTCACGAGAAAAAATAATAAACTATTTTTTTCATTTTCTCCCCATCACTTTTCACTCTACTCTATAAAATAACATTGTTACATTTATTACTATTACTCTTACTAACTTTAACACCAGCTATTTCAATTAAAAACATAGCAGCACCTAAAACATGTCCAGCATTATAGCTCGTAAATTTTATTCCTTCAACCTCAACTTCTTGATGGTAATCTACTGCTTCAATCTTATCATAGCTACGTTGTAGATCTTTTTCATCATAAAGCATATCATCTAGAGCAACATTACTAATGATGATGATCATGGTTATGATGATAATGTTAATATTTTTTCTGCAAAAAAAAATTTCTCGAGATAATTGAAGAATAAACAAATAACTTTCATGTTGTTAATTACCTGACTCTCACATAATCAGATAATAGCCATTTGTAAATGGCTTTTGTTGGATGAGTCATAAATACACGACCTTGAAATGTAGTCTGTTTTTACAATTAATTAATATATGCTTTTTTCTTTTAATATGATATGCTTTTGTGTGTTTTAACAATAATAATAATTATTATAATAATAACAACTAATAACGTTTAATAAAATAGACAAACAAACCCTACTTTTTCTAGAAAATAAGGTAATGATGCAGCATGATCCAAATGAAAACTAATAAATTAAATTCATCCATTCATTAATATGAATCAAATAAACAAATTAAGATTAATCCCTTTATTTATTAAAATAAATAAATAAATAACACATACTGGCTAATGAGTAGAACATCAACAGTAGCAGGGTCAATCTCATCATAAAATGGAAGTGCGGCAAGTCCATTATATGCAGGATGTACACCTGCATCAAGCTAAATAATGTATATATAAGAAAAAAATATTTTTATATATAACTTTGAAAAAATCCAAACATACACACACGTTTTTTTAAAAGAAAGAAAGATTCTCAAATAATAATGATATACCATAACAGTTTTACCCTTGTATTGAATCACTAAACACGATCTTCCTACTTCGTTACCAGCGCCTAAAGCTGTAATGTGTAAAGCATCATTTTCATTATTAGTATTACTATTATTATTCTTTTGTATGGAAGAAATTTCAAAGTTTGTGTTTTTTGAGCTCATTATTGATCGTTTTCAAATCTGTGATTAGATTTAAAGTGAAAATTCAAATTTAGCGATGATCGACGTGAAATTAATATTAATATTAATCTGAACCCCGTTAATTCGAAAACCCCATTAAAATGAACCTTTTTTAAGCCAAAATCTATGTAAATTCACCCCGTCAAGCAGTAATCTTTTACTTTTCGAAGCCACTTCTATTGATTAAGTTACCTCGATATATTAGATATTGTAGTTCACTTTCTCAATAACGACCCTTCCGTCCCTATATGTAATTTTTCTACCTTTGTTCATTTATAAAGAGAGAATTAATTATAAAAAAATGAACGGAGGACAAAAGTAAGGTTCGTTATAGAGAGGGTCATTTAATGAGTGAGTGGTCTTACCCACTGAATTCTCCAATTAATCTACCGAGTGTTCGTATATCAATATTAATATGCACAAAAAATAGTTTTAAAAATTTATTATTCAAAAAAGAATATTATCTTTCCATTAAAAATAAAGAGATCAAGGACTATCCAATCGTTGAATATTAATAATAACGATAATGACATGATTAATCGCCGCTTATCCGATCATCCAATCGTTGAATATTTTCAACGATCGATTAATAACGTCAATGAAATTTCTACATTCGATTAATCGACGAATTTTATTCAGTGGGTAAGGTCTGTCAATCCACCGGCCCAATTAACTCGAAGAAAAATAAGATATTAATCGTTTTATTTTTCATATAGATTTTTGTAATAATAAATGAAACAATCAGTGTTAGTATCAGATTATAATTATTATTCTGACCACACGTATCTATTCAACAACATATTAATTATATAATACATATGATGGCGTTTATTTATTATAAAAATCAAAAGTCTTCCTGGCAACGTTAATGTCAAACTTGAATGCTGAGACCTAAAACTCATTTGAATTTCCGAAATAGTTCCTGGAGAGGAAACTCAACCCAAACTTCTACTCGAATCCAACTTTGATATGATTTTTGCTGCAGCTGAAAGATTGTAAGAGATTAGTTTTTATAAGAATTGCATTTTTTGGTATGTGTTGGATTTCGGCAATAGTTTGGGCTTCAGCAACAGTCTAGGTTTCAGAAAATTACTAGTTTCGGCCTTCCTTAAACTTAACAGCATAATTAGAGATGGGCACGTATAGTTCTAGAAAAATATAGTAGTAAATGTAAATCAATTCCTGTTTAGGTTATTACACATAAATACTCTTCTCATGATATATCTATTTTAAACTTGCCTGCAATTTGGCAACATTTTAATATTAACGTTCTAGTTCAATATCTAGATGTGAAAACATTTACGTCTTTGTCCAAATGCCACAATTCAAATTAAAAGAAATTATTTTGGAGAACATTTTAATACTTCAA